CATAATAGCTTCACCAATTTGCATTCCCACCAACAGTGGAGGAGGGCTCCCTTTTCTAGAACCCTTTCCAACTTTTCATTATTTTTTAAAATGCTACACTCTCAGTTTCCATTTCCCTTTTGACCCAAGAATTATTTATTTCATAGAGAGCTTTTAAAAATCCATCAAGAAAGGCTTTCTGTGCTTTGGTTTTGTTATTGATTTTCCAGTTTTATTCCATAATCATCAGCAGATGTTTTTGTATTATTTCTCATTATTATCTCATTTCTTTGGTGACTAAATGTATGGCTAATTTTGTGAATGTTCTTTGTGGATTTGAAAATAAAAATGTATTCCTTCTTCAGGGAATAAAGTTTGTGGTGTATCCAGACCTCCCTTAATTATGTTGTTTGGGTCTTCTGTATCTTTATTTATCTTTTGTCCAATTACCCTTACTTGGACTGAGAGAGGTAGGTTAAATTACTTAATATTAATATGCTTCTACTTCTTCTTGCATCTTCTGCAGTTTTTGCTGTAAAGGTTGTTGCTGTGAATTCATAACTGCTGCATTCTGTTCCTAGTGAACTCTGGCCTTTAGCAGAAATCAGTCCTTCTTGGTCTTGTTGTGTGCTTTATCTCTGCCCTTTACCCTGTCATAGGTCAAGATCAAATCGATGCTTTTTGTTGTTGCCGTAAGTTTACATTTGCCTTATATAATCTGCCCATCTCTTTATTTTTTTGCGTTTCAAATTCACTTTGTGTTAGGTACGTCTCATATTCAGCACAGAGTTGAGTTTTGCAGAGTCTACATTTCTGACTGCTGTGTTATACTCTGCCCAGCATGTGAATGGAGTTCCATAAAATAATTTTTTTCTTTTCTTCTTATATTCAACCAGGGTCAAGATTCAATGAAACCCCTAATCTTTCTTTTTCAGCTTTATTGTGGTATAATTCACAAAACTATAAGATATTTAAAGTGAATATCATGGTGATTTGATACGAATACATTGTGAAAGTAACCTTTAACATCTTACTATCAGCAGTTTGGGATCTGTCTGGATAGAGGTCCCCTTCTGGAACTTCTGACTTCAGTGGACTCTTGTTTTCAGTCACACCTTCGCAGGACATGCTCTCCCTCACCACCTGGGAGGCCCTACATATACTTCAATGGTGGACTTGAAGAGCACCGATATAAAAGTTTAAAAATGCTTCCCCTCTACTGGCTTCACAAAATGAAGCTTCCAATATTTAAACTAAGGCCTGATGTTTTCCTAAATATTCTTTAAAATGTAATTAAATGCTTGGGAGAAATCTCATAGCATGTAAGTCCACAGCTGAAAGGAACCCTAGAATCATCCACTCAAACTCTTTCCCTAATGCATTAACCATTTCGACAATATCCCAAGTTTCCTAGACTCTGTATTTTTCTGATGATGGTAAACTGACACTGTCACCCATTCTAGAGGCATGAGAGTAAAGCTCAGTTGTATCATATATTAGCTATATGACAACAAGAATTTATGTAAGCCCTGAGCCTCAGTTTTTTAATCTATAGAATGGGGATGATGGTAGAAACTCAGAGGACTGAGCATGGTTACAAATTCAAGGACTAGGCAGAAAATGTGAAGACCCAGGCAGGTAATTAATTGAATCCCCTAAGTGAAAGGCAACAGGGGTCACTAGGAGAGTTCATTCCTTCCCAAAGTAGAAGCCTTTACTGGTCTCCTAGAGATTAAAGCCCTGCCTGCAGCAAAGTGGGCCTAATAATATCACTAGGTCTTCTATTCTAGACAAGCAGACATCTGGCATTTTAATGCGAAATTTCCTAACTATTCAGCGCGGCAACTGATTCAAATTTCTTTGCAATCTTAGACCATTAAAAAAACATAGCTGTGGGCTGGGGACACCTGTAAGCCGCCACTTTGTAGGCTCTATGCTGAAGTAATTAGCATGATGCCCAGCACAAGACAGGCACTGGATAAATTATGAATTCATCAGATCTGAAATCTTAGACTTAAGACTCTTAGGAGAAAGGGCTTGTTTGGGCAGGTGAGAGGACACTCAGAAGCACCAAGACATCAACTGTAGGCCCAGGAAAGTGGTAGAAATTGGGGGGGGGGGGGGCAAGGCAGAGAACAGGTAGAGGTGAACCATCTAAGCATTCTGCCTTTTCTGATTCATCCTTTGCTGAAACTCCCTAACTCTATCTTACAGTGGCCGATCTCTGATCCTCGTGCAGATACAGCCGACACAGGAGACGTGCGGCGAGTGGGGCAGATCCTGCAGCTGCCCGGGGTCAGAAGGGCAGCAGCTTCCCTTGAGTAAGTTTACTGGGAAGAGAACAAAAACAGCTCTGAGCTGGGGGCCAAGGAGGCAACTTTCTCTCTGCTCCTGTTTCCTTTGGGTTTTCCCCATCAGCAACTCTGAACCTAGCCCAATACTTCCTCCTCGGTGGGGCTGCAGCTGTCCCACACACGTGATAAATAAGGGCCAGTAGCGTGTTCCTATTTTTAGCCTTTGAATGTGGATGCAAAGGTCACCAAAATTCCCCATTTGCTGGCTCCACTCCTCTCTCTCTTCTCCACATGTCTGTGAATAGCATATTTTCCTCCCCGATGTATGTTTTCTGTTCAAGTGCATAAGGCTTTTGGGGGAAGAGAGTGCCTTATGTTTGCTCATCTTGGCTGAACTCCTTCTAATCATCATAGGTTGGGTTATGCACCTATTCTGTGGCAGAGAAGTCATGTGAAGACTTTGGGAAACAGCACCCCAGGCTTGGATGAAAGCCGCTCCACAAGGTGAGGTTCAGAGCAGAAAACAGCATTCGGGACCCTCTCATCCAACCTTACACATTTGTGGGGACCAAAGCCCAGAGAGGCTCACTCCCTTATCACTACCTAGCACCAATAGCAAAGATCATTTTAGCTTGTATTCACGGACGGTTTCCCTGGGCTAAGCACTCCCGGTGGATTTCCAGATCGAATCCTCAAGTCAATGAGGTATCTATCTCCATGATTCCCATTTTACATATGACAAAACTGAGGTTTGCTGCTAGCAGAAACTTGCTCAAAGTCACATAATGGGCAGAGGCAGACCCAGGGGGGCACTTAAGATCCTGACTCCAACGATTCATCTTTTTCCAGAACCAAAGCTCAGTGTATAGATTCTCTCTCATGAGGCTCAAAGTGAGGAAGGAGAAGAAGGTAGAAGAAGGGGCGGGGGGCGCTGGCTCTTTGACGCACACATCCCTGCAGCGTGGCCCTTCCAGGCTGTCCATGGAAAGCTCTGAGTGTTTCCAGAACACGAGCACAGCCTGGGATGAGCCCCCTTACGACCTCAGAGGCCAAAGCGCTGCTGAGCTCCGAGGAGAGCCTCCGCCGTCCTTACCTGTTCTCGGGGTCGGCCAAGGCCAGGCTCCGCGTGACGTAGCACATCTTGAGCGGGATGCTCTTCCGGTCTCTGTGGAAGGAGAGGGACTGCGACGACAGCGGGTCGGAGGAGCTGCCCCCCAACCGAGGGGACTCAGGCGGAGGCGTCTCCCACCCGATCTCGGACACCGGGGAGCCTTTCCTCACGTAGGGCGTGGCTTCTCGCATGTACTTCACTGCGGGCAGAAAGAGACAGTGAGCGCTTCCCAGAGCATCCGGCCGGAGTCTGCAGTGCGGCGCTTCTGACCCTTGCGTCAGACAAGGCTCTTAATACGGAGCCTCTTACATCCTGAACAAGATTCAGAATGTCTGTTCCTCTCGTAAGAGTTATTCTGTTCCTTAAATTATGGGCCGATGTGGTTTTTAGAACTTGCCATTACGAGGGCCTGAACTTGAGAATTACTCTCAGCTTTTTTCAATTATGACAACCTCTATCCTTTCTGATTATGAGGTGCATTCTGGGAAAGAGGCTGAAAACAAATGGGCAGAGCATGAGAAAGCATATCTTAGGCTAAAGGACACATAATTATTCATTTTAGCTGTAGGGAATCTGGTGGTCACACTATCCACGTCACTATTTTTCTGTTCAGAAACAAGGATAAACTTTTCCATTGACTAGCGCTAAGAACATATATGCAAAGAAATATCCAGAAGAACACTTACTGTGTAATGGTACAAATCCATAAGAGCAAAAATATTACTTGCACAAAAAACCATATTATCAAATCTATAAAAAAAACATATTACTTGTAAGAGCTGAAAACTAGGAACCACCTAAATGTCCATGAAAAAGAAAAACAACAGGTTAAATAAAATGTAAGACAACTTTATACTCATTTTAAACAATGAGATAAATATAGATGTGTTGATGTAGAAAGATCTATAAGATCTATCATAATTTTTTAAAAAATTATAGAGAAAAGTGTATATACTGTAATCATTTTGTGTATAAAATCATAAACATATATGTTTTTATATCAGTGAGTATTTCTGGACAGAAAAATAAGAACGTATTAATGGTAGTTAGCTCTGGGAGTGGAATTAAAGTCAAGATGATGGACAAATACACCTTTGTTATTCATTTATTACCCTTTTATACTATTCTCATGTTTAGCAATATGCCTATATCACTATAAAATTTAAAGAAAAAATAGTTTAAGAGCTGAGTGGAGCAAAATGAAATTCTGCTCTTTGATATCTCTGCTTGGTCTTCAGATGTTATTTGCTGATTCTGAATTTAAGCATTTAGTTCTTAGACAGCTTTTGAGTTGACGGGGCAACTGGATTCTTGGCACATGCAAAATAAACTTCCATGGCCTTCTCTCTGTCACTCACACAGTCTGGTTCTCTGTTGCTTGGGGGTAGGGGAGGGATTTGGCCAAGTTCCTTAAAAGTATGTTATTATACACGGCAGTGGATTGGAGTGGGTACAAAGAGATTTACATAAGTTATTCCTTATAAGACAAATACTATTTTACACATCGACACACCAATGCCCATTAGCATGGCTTATGTGGCTAGTAAGTGGTGAAGATGCAATCTGATTTCTCAGGGAGCATATTCTTTCATGAAATCTGGCTACCTACCTAGATGAATGATGCAAAATGAGAAGCTAATAGGTTTGGACTTTATTCTGTAGGCAGCAGTGATAGCCATGGTGGCCTATGAGCAAGAGAATGGCAGAATAATTGGAGGTGAGCTTCAGAGAGAACTCCAGGAGAAAGAGATTGAGTGCACTAGAAGGAAAAGATATTAGATGTAGATCTACCAGTTACAGGGCCATCAGGGGTTACTTCCGGAGATAATACGAACACTCAAAATATTCATATAAGGTGTAAGTCATCAAAGAAATGTGTGGTTTGATCCACCATGGGCAGAGGCAAGTCTTAGCCTGGAAGCAAATATTTACTAAGTAGCCACTTCCTATGTGGTACAGAACTTGGGGAATTTACAAAGGAGAGAAGACATAGCAATGCTTTGAAGAAAGGCCATCCTATTGGAAATGATATTCAATACAGAGTAATCCTTTTAACTGAGCAACTGAAAATAAAGAAAGAGAAAATAAGTTAACAAGGCTAGGCATGATAATTGAAAGATTCACTCATTCAGCCAAAATTCATCAGTCGATTTTCATGTGCCGTGGACTGTGCCGTCCATGAGAGAGAAGAAATGGCCTCTGATTAAAAGAAGTTTAAGCCTAGAAAAGGAGGAAGGTGAGTGAGTAGATGACAGGAGTTCTTATGTTAAATCTTAAGCCTGGTTTAAGGAGGTCCCAAGCTGGACAAGTGCCTAAGCTCTAGCAGAATCAAACGCAAATCCTTATGGCCTTATGGAAGAATGCAGTTTCATCCCAGTCTTCAAAGAGTCACTACGAATTACTGTCCAGGACAATGAGCAGCATAAAATCTAAGAAAATGTTGCATACAAGGAAATAAGGTACCACAAGAGAGAACTCGTAAAAATACTTGATAGCAGTAACAATCCCATACGGACTACAAAGATACGAGAATGTTAACTATGTGTAAAGGAACAAATGGAAGCTTGAGAGAATCTTCCAGAGATTTTTTTTTAATTGATCTAACAGATTGGTAAAATAAACAGATAGAATGTTAAGTAGTAGTAGTAGTAATATAATCAGAACTAAAACTTCAATAGAGAGACAAATCAGAAGAAGGAATTAGTGATTGAATTGTAGATCAGAAGAAATTAGACAAAATGTAGCACAAAAACACACACAAAAAAATGTGGAATAGAGATGAAGAGATGTGAAGTGAAGGTCTAAATCATGTTTAATTGGAGCTCCAGAACTGTATGTGGCCAAGACGTGACAGAGGCCAAGAATTTTCCCAATGGAAAGACATCAACCCACAAGGTCAAGAAGCCACTTGATTTTGCTGAACAATACCTTTGTTCTTCACCATCAAGACAAATAGAGGTAAGGTATCATCGCACCTCGGGTAGGCACAATGGCTTCACTTTTCCTTAGAACCTATGTTTCCTCTGAGAGCGTTAGATATCATCTCTCCTTTCACTAGTACTGTGAAGAAGGCTCGGCAAAACCCCTTAATGAGTCTTGAGGTCTCTGGCCCCACCAGAAAATACACTTTCAATTTCAAGGAAATAAAGGAGACTACGAGATTATCATCACTGCTCCCAAGCAAGATATGCTGAGGTCACTGAACTGTTTCCATGTCTGTCCCGAGGGAGAACAAGCAGCATCACCCCAGCCCTGCTTCAAGTTCCTCTGTTCAGGAGTCCTGCTTCTATTTGATATTTTTAGAAAATGGAGAAACTTGTTCTTGGGCATAACAAAGAAAGCAAAAGAAAAACTGCCTTGGATTTTTTTCCAAGGGCCCACAGTTTCTGGCCCAGGGGAAGTAATACATTTGTCAGAATATCCTTCTGAGGGATATTTCAAGTAAATTCTGCAAGGCTTGGTCATCAGTTAGAGGCACAATTCTACTGTCAAGCCGTCCTCTCCCCAGTCACCAAGCGAGGCCTGAGGCGAAGTCCCCTCATTCGGAGATTAAGAGCAGTGTGGCCATGCTTGGGTGTGGTAAAGCAGCGCCTCTGGTAGGAAATTGAGAGTATGTGAAAACTTTTCATGGTTTGTTGTGTCTTAGTGTCCTGAAATGCCTACATATTGCAATCAAAATAATGAGAGTGTGGTCTATTTCAGGGAGGGTAAGGTGTTACCTAAGACTAAATTTAACTGCAATAGGTGTCCCAAATTACAGTGTATTGAATAATACAGAGGTTTGCTTTTCTTTTACCAAAGTCTAAAGTGAAAGAAAAGGGCTGCTAGGGCAGCTCAGCTCCCTAGTTTTCAGGCCCTCAGGCTTCTACTCATTTCCTGCTCTACACTGCTAGCCTGCCATCTAATGACCCAGGAGGGCTGCCAGAGTTCCAGCCATCATGACCAAATTCCCACCAGTAGGAAAAAGTAAGAAGTAAAGGACACATCCTTCTTCCTTCCGGCCACTTTCCAGAAGTTGACACACTGTATCTACTTACAACCCATCTGCCAGAATTTAGTCACATGGCACTTTGAGGTGGAAAAGAAATTTACTCTTTAACTCTGGACAACTCTCTACCAACCCAGCTAAAAATTTGTGGGGAGGGGAGGCTATTACTGTGGAAGGAAAAGAGACTAGACATTAGGGGACAATTCTTCACTTTTGCCACAGGGAGACATCCCTAATCCTGCCAGCTTAGCACAACCAGATTTTACAACATGTAAACACCAGAAGATGCACTGGAGTAATCAGTGAAAAAAAAAACAAAAACACAACGATTGGGTTCCATGAACTCTACTAAGTGTTTGTTGTGTACTAACTCATTGGAGCCTCACCACAACTTCAGGATACAGACATTGCAATCATCCCCATTTTTCCCAAAGACTCTGCAATAGAGAGAGAATAAATCGCACGCCCAAGCCAGAGGGCAAGCAAGTGGCAGACCCACAAGTCAAATCCAAGCTGCCTGGCTCCAGAGTCCTTACTTTCAACCATGAAACAATACTGTTTCTCACACTTAAAAAAATAATAATTGGATGTGTTTGTGTGTGTGCGCATGTGTGTGTGTGTGTATTTAAGCCAACGTTTTTATGTACTGGGAGAAAACATCCAATTAAGAGGCTATTGCCTGTAACATAAGAGAGCTTGATTTTGTAAGTCTGAACTATTAAACTGTGGCATTTCAATAAATGCCTTTTAAGACACTGTAATATGTAGTATTCATAATAGAGGGTTTAACCTGGCAGGACTGAACAGCTAGTGTGTGCATAATTACACCTCCCTATGCTTACAGTCAGTCATTTCAGGCACAGAGCTGTTGAAACTGATCAAGAAGCCGCCGGGCCCAGGCTCATAATCAAAATTAATTAATAAACCATGCCCTTTCTGAACATCGTGAATTAAAAACCATGGTTGAGCAATTAAAATCCCAATCTTCTGTTGCAAGAAAAGGCGGGGAACAGTAGTCAGAAGTGGTCTCCAAACCAATAATGCACCAAGTCACTTTCAATATGTTACTAGTTTTTCATCTGAAAGATGGGCGGTTGTGAAGATTTCAAAAGAACATTCAGCAAAGCCCAAGTTTGCCCAGGCCCCAAGCTGCCACAATTAAATCTTTGTTGAGGAGGCCAGATGACATTTGAAAGGAAAAGCACACACAG